TTGAGTGGAATAGAGGTAATTGTTTAATAAAATTAAAATAATTTGAACATTTCATGGGACTAAGGTGGTTGAAATTATGTGGGACTTTTTTGTAATTTTCTCAAAAAAGGGGAAATCACCCCAAGGTCTTTTGTAAAGATTTTAATGACCAAAAAATCTAATGAAATATATAAAATACTTTAAAATCTTGTGCAATTACAACTTAATAAAAGAAAATGAAAACTTATCAAAGAAAAATTATAATTTAGGTATGAGTTTAATATCAAATTTTCATTTTCCTTTGTCAGGTTATTATTTTTCTTTGCCAAATTATAATTGCACAAGATTTGAGATATAACAACAATTTATACATGTCATATGACTTTAAGGTAATTGAAATTTTTATATGAGACTTCTCAGTAATTTTTTCCAAAAAAAATATAATTATGTGTTAATGTAAAATATCAATGACTAAGCTATAGAATAAGCTAAAGCCAACTTAAAAGGAAATTTACTGGCCAAAAAAAATACTACTTAAAAGGAAATTTTAGGGTTTGGCAGGGTTTGATTATCTCACGTTAGAATATCAATTAGCATCAACCTCCTGCACTTCCATGAACATTGTGCAAAATTTATATGAAATATGCATAGAAATTATGTAAAAATTCCAATTTATTTTAAAACAACACATAAGTCCAAGAAATTGTCAAATAAAATGAATCAATAATCATAATAACAAACGGTAAAATTATTGCATATATATCATTCCATGTTTTCCATAAAATATATTGATGAAAGTACAAAAATTTAAAAATAAAATAAAATAAAATTTAAACTGTCATATCAAAATTAGGCTTGCTGAAAAAACATCAATACCCAATTAAGCAATCCTCGGTTCAAGTAATTCCATCAATATTTGCATGAGTGAGTGAAATCTCATATTATCCTATAGTTTTAGTTGAAGATCCACTTCCTTCATACATAATTGTTTAATATCAAACCGTTTGGAGTTCAACCTCTTAACTATCAATTTTTGAACTGCCAATGAATTTCTAACGTCCCGTGCAGTTCTTACGCTATTGAAAGCAATGTAGTTCAAACTTCTTCCATTTAACTTGTTGTTTGAACCAAAATCGGAGGGTGAGGCCTAGTTGTGATAATTCCCAAAGCCTAGATAATTGGCCTAATAGCGATCTAGCCTTACATGAATAAGTGAGACAATATATTTTGAAGAAGAATTAATGGAGTTGCACCCGCTCCATCTACTCTTTAAGATTCTTGACACACCCATGCCTATTACTTCGCACAATGGAGCTCTCCTCAAGGATCTCAAGGTGTGAATAATTATCTACTCATATTGGCACTAAACTTGAATTTGAAAAAGAGTGCCATTTGCTATAAATAGGCAATAAGCACATAACCCAAAGTCTCTTGACATTTGGCAAATTTACACCAGACTTCCCTACATAATTACTTAACTGCTGACTTTGTGTCGTCTTTAATCTCACCCTACATGACTTACTCTCTTTATGCAAACTTAGCTTCCTAGGCTAGTTTCTCAGACTTATTTGCTTTTCGACATTCATAAAGCACCTCATTACACTTACTTTTTCAAATAATGTTATTGAGCTTCATGCTCATTCACGGCACACTCATTGTTATTCTCACAAGCCATTTAACTCTCCAAGGAAATTGTGATAAAGGTAGTTGGGAACTCATTTTAATCGTAGCCACAAGTACTTGGATCAACTAGTAAGAATTGTTATAATTTAACTAGATGTTTTGAGTTCGAGTCCTAAAAATGCAATAGTAGAAGTGACCAAGGGCACCCACCGTTATGGTGCTTGTCATACATTGTCTGAATCAATTTAGGTCCCGTTAAGTCCTTACAGTTTAAGTAAAGCAAGCTTAGGATAGTGGGTGCTCACACAAAAGAAGTTGAGAATCCAAAAATTTTATGAATTTTATGTTATTAAAGAAGAGAGAGAAAAATCTTATATGGTAGTTCTATGTATGAGTCACTTTCTAGAAAAAATTAATAGTTAATTGTATAAGTCACTTTGCACAAAAGAATATATCATTAATTAAAGTAAAAGATTATATATGAAAGAGAAAATATTTTTAAAGATGATATATTTAATAAGAATAAATTAAAAAATTCTTTTTTTTTAAATACTATTAATAATCTAACTATTTCTCTTTAGTTCTGGTGAAATAATTCAAAGTAAACCATATCATTCGTGATCTATTCAATTAAAATGTTTCAAGTAATTTAAATAAAATCTTGTATGCTTTCTTTTAAATTAATTTTTTTATAACAAAATGTATGTTTGATTTTTTATATTTTCTCTTTCTATTGTCATTAATATTAAAATTAATTTATATTTAATGCCATCTGAATATCATATTTTTATTGAATAGATGATAAATGATATGATATATCCGGTCTATTTAAGTATTTCTCGTAACTTATATATTAGAACCAATAAGTGCAGCGCACAAAGTTTATAGTTTTCCATGACTTCCACCGTCCTTCAATGATGAAGCTTGAACTGAAATCCCACTACGTAAGAGAAACGCAATTATCAATCAATTAATATTACTTTATCAATATTAATTAATGGTAATAGTAGAGTTAAATTCAATAATTTGATTTTTTTTCTAGAATAAAATTGAGAATTGCAAAATTGTAAATCGACAAGTAGAGAAAACTAGTTTTGAGTGTATGGGTTGTAGAGAAAACTAGTTATAATTAAGTCTCAACACTCAAAATTTGGTTTAATATTATCTCACATATCAAATAACTTGATTTTATGTCCCGTGACATTGAACAAGAATTAAAAAAAAAGTGAGATTTTAATGGATTTGATTTATAAAATGACAAGTGATCAGATTAAAAATTTTCAGTCACACTTCCCTATTTTAAAAAAAAAAATCAAATTTATTAAAATCTCCCTTCTCCTCTCCTCCTTTTCATTTTCTTCCAACCAAGGAAGGATGATAATTAATTTAAGTTAAATATTGGGTAACTATTGGTTTCATAATTTTACAATTAATTTAAGTATAAACATGAGATTAATGAATTGAGATCCCTAATCATAGTGCGTAGAGATTGAAATTGTCAAAGTCCAATGAGCTGCGCTAATCTAATTTTGCCGACGAATAAAAAGTAACACATTCCATCGCCAACCAACTTACGAACTACGAACAAAAGCAAAGTCACAAATGAAAATGATTTATGTAAGTGTATTTTCAATTTCATTGTCACGTATCCTTCGCTCATATGTGTATGTATAGTATTTTTATTTCACATGTTACTCCCTAGTCATTGGGATATATTATCTCGATTTTTTTTATAAATTATTTCTATTAAATTCGTCAGTGGTATTCAATACCAATACAAAAAGAAAAAAATATAATGAATAAAAATGTGTAAAATTTTAAATATGTCTCTATTATAATAAATCTAAAAGTGATGTCATATTACTTTCTTTCTCTTTTTTATTAAGGGTAATTTTAAAAATATTTTTTAAATATTACATAAAAAGTCATACTATAACTCATAAATAAAACCAAATAAATTTTTTAAAATATGACTTATAAATAGGACAGGAGGAAGTATTTAAAAATATATGATGGAATGAAAAAGAACTATTATTAATGGAATAAAATGGGATAGAGTGAGATGAAATAGAATGGAATGAAATATTTTATTGTTTAGGAGTTTTATTAAAAGAATAAATGATTTTATTTAATTATTATTTGAGAATAATTATAAAATTAATGGATTTAAATTATTTATAATTATATTTTTTAGTTTTATAAGGTGAAGGAAAGTGAAAGAGTGAGAGAAGATGATCAAAATAAAGGTAATTTTATAATAATATTATTTATATCATATTATTTTATCCTCAACCTTTTAAATTGAAGGGTTTAAAAAAATAAGTTTATTATGGTAATGGATAGCTTGGAAGGCCCCACAAGCCATTCCACTCTTTTTCCAAAAAAAAAAAAAATCCAAACAAAGAAATAAGGTTTCTAGTTATTCAATTTTATCAAAAAAAAAAATTCCCAAATGTTACCTTAGTGTAAATTTAACCGACTCTGCATATGATAATTAATCTTTAAAACTCTTTTAAAAATATGTAATTTATTAATTTTATCTTTTTATAATTACTAATCATAATAAATTATTGTCTAGAAATTCAAACAATAATAAATAAATATGAGATAAAAAACTTTTAAAAGAAATTCATATCTCAAAATATAATACATTTTGATAAAAATAAGATTTAATTAATTATATTTTTTAATATTATATTTTTTATTATATTTTCTTTCTTTGATTTTTTTTATAAATAAAGTATTAAACGAATAACATTTTTAAAAATTTATATTTTTTTAAAAAAAAAAATTTTAAATGTATTTTATAAGCTTTATTGAGAAACATAATTTTATTTAAAAATATTTTATAATTTGATACGGAGAAAGTATTTTACTTTAGTTATAAGAAATCTGAAGAGTAAATTGGAAATCCATCTTTTTTACACAAAGTAACTTATAAGGGAGGAAAAAACCCATCTATTTCTAAGTGACTTTTTTTTTCACCTTAAAAAGCATTTATTTCTAAGTGATTTGAATATACGAGAATCCGCGCAACAATTTTTGTTTCTATTTAAATATTTATAACCAAAAATACGGACTCATCTAAAATAAATAAATAAATAAATAAATATATATATATATAGTAATAGTAGGGCAAAGCTTTTCTCTCAATTCTTCCACCACAAGTCCACAACAGAGAACAGACCCTCACAAAATGTGAAAACTTGAACTGAAACCCGCTTGCAATTATTTATCAATTAGCATCCGTATCATTAACATTAAAAAAAATATAAAATTTATAACAACTAATATAATTAGTAATAAATGATTAATAACACAATTCATTTCTATAAATGCAAATACCAATTATCTAGTTTTCCCACTGACAAAGGCAAAAGATAGTGAAATTAATGCAGTAAAAATCCAAATTGTTCTATCTATCTCCTATTAACGGACAAACAGGATAAGATCCAGAAAATCCGATTCAAAATACCAAAGAATACACACGTGGCACAGAGCCGCCAATGGATTATGATTCATAGAATAAACAAAGGAAACAAATCACGAACCTTAAAAACAAAAATCATTAACCATTCTCATCCCCAAAAATGAGTTTCCCTTGTACCTGCCTGCACATGCATTGCACAGTCATCCTATTCCTAATTTCCACCACATGCTAAGCACATCAACATTGAATATTGCGTCATTCAGAGGACTTTCCGAACCAATACAAGTTCATACAAATGGGAACACCTCCTCATGCTGGTCACTATCCTAATTCTTATGAGTCGTTCCTTGAAACCCTGTGAGAAGAGATTAAGATGGAGAAGCCAACCAAGAATGAGTGATAAATGTACAGTTGCACTGTCAGAACAAAAAAACCGAAACCAACATTAAAGTTCGCGTCCACTGAGGAATTTCTCTTGCCGGAATTGTTGGGGGGGTTTCGCAAAAAGAGTTGCCTTTTTTTCCCCCTTCATTCTTATCCGTCTCCGAAAGTGGATAAATTAGAAGCAGTGTGGGAATAATAATCTCTGAGAACAGAACAAGAGTCGGCCTTGAGCTTTTTCTTTTTTTCTGTGGGGCAGAAATGGCAGGAGGGTCATTTGCGCAAGGTGTGGCGAAGGAGAGAGCAGCTCAATACAAGGGTAGAGTTACAGCTTATGTCGTCATCACCTGCATCATTGCCGCCGTTGGAGGATCTCTCTTCGGCTATGATATTGGGATTTCAGGTTCTTTTTCCATATTCATAAATCACCGACTTCAATTTGCTCGAAATCCTTTTTTTTTTTTGGTGGGGTTAAGAGATATGGAACATAACATTTCCCTGATTAAAACCCAGTTCTGAGTTTGGTGTGAATTGTTCTAGTTCTGAGTTTGGTGTGAATTGTTGTGTCCTTATGAGAGAATAGGAATTAAAAAAATAAAGATGTAAAAGAGGATGCATATTCAGGAATACCTTACTTTCTTTGTCTGTTCTGTACTGTGTGCATATGTAGGAACCATGTTTGACTCATTTCTGGAACCTTTTCGTCGTCACTACTTTATTCCAGATGATGCAGCCCCCAATTAACATCTAACAATGGCACATTGATAGATATAACCTACAGTGTTTCATCATCATTCACTTGCTCTCCAATCGAGATACCAGATGTACTGAATCCTGTTTTGGGTCTAGGACATTTAGAAACATATTTTGTGGCCTCTGATATTAGAGTATCCCATGGATTTTAGGCTTCAGTTTATCCATTTCACTGCATTAAGTATGAACTCAATTTTCAAAGACAGAACTCCCAACTTTCCAATTTTCAATGAAAGAAAAACAAAGCAACAGTATTTAACAAGAAGTTTGCAGATTGTTTCTGACCTGGATGCTTGTTGAAGAAAGGGAGAGTCATTCCTTGTATATTGAAATTTCTTTTTTGCTTGTTTAATGGCTACCAGGTGGGGTGACTTCCATGGATGAGTTCCTCCAGGAATTTTTCCCGTCAGTATACAGAAGTAAAGAGCACGCACATGAAAGCAATTACTGCAAGTACAACAATCAAGGGCTTGCATTGTTTACCTCATCTCTTTACCTTGCTGGTTTAGTTGCATCTCTATTGGCGTCTCCAGTGACAAGGAAATACGGGCGAAGGGCAAGTATAATTGGTGGTGGAATCAGCTTTCTTATTGGATCAGCTCTCAATGCAGCAGCTGTTAATCTGGCCATGCTTCTCCTAGGTAGAATCATGCTTGGTGTTGGCATTGGATTTGGAAACCAGGTAACCAGATATACTTTAACAATAAAATTATGTCTGCACACTCATGCTAGATATAATACCACCTTCAAATCTGAAAACATCATTTCAATATTGCGTGTCACATCATGTTCCACATTGACTCTGCATGAAACCTCTTTCAAATAAACAATAATGAATGTTAATGTGAGTTTATAAACTTTTATGAAAATAAAGGCGCTGATATGTTGAAACATGAAACAGTATATAGGTCTAGAAAGCATGTGTTGATATAGGACTTACAAGATGATCCAGTCACATTATAAGCACCTTAATGTTAAACTTGAAAGATAATATGAGCTCCACCTCGTGACTGTTTTGAAGGCAATTCCAGTATACTTGTCAGAGATGGCACCAACCCACCTGCGAGGAGGCCTGAACATGATGTTTCAGGTGGCAACCACATTCGGAATCTTCACTGCCAACATGGTCAATTATGGGACCCAGAAGCTTCACCCATGGGGGTGGAGGCTCTCTCTCGGTCTAGCTTCTATACCAGCCATTCTGATGACACTGGGAGGAATTTTCCTTCCTGACACACCAAACAGCTTAATAGAAAGAGGATCAAAAGAAAAGGGAAGAAAGCTTCTTGAAAAGATCAGAGGAACCAAAGATGTTGATGCAGAGTTCCAAGACATTGTTGATGCGAGCGAGTACGCTAACTCAATAGAGCATCCCTTTCGAAACATGCTGGAAAAAAGAAACAGGCCAGAGTTGGTTATGTCAATTCTCATGCCAGCGTTTCAGATCCTTACTGGCATAAATTCGATTCTGTTTTATGCTCCTGTACTGTTTGATAGTATGGGATTTGGAAGGAATGCTTCTCTATATTCATCTGCTTTGACAGGAGGAGTTCTTGCTTCATCCACATTTATTTCGATAGCAACAGTTGACAGATTGGGACGCAGAGCTCTGCTCATCAGTGGCGGAATACAAATGATCACATGCCAGGTAAAATAAATAAAATAATCTACGAAGCAAATGCATTTTAAGAGTTATCCTTGTGTGAATCACAGGCCTCAAACATCAAATATGGATGTTCCACAATGAAAAGATCTGCGTCCTTATTTAAAGTAGGGGGGAACAAAGAACACAACTGCCCATACTTTACCACTTCTGGGATCAGTGAATCCTGTCGATGCACTGGATTATGCTTAAACATCAATGTTAAACAACTCAATATCGCATGTTAAATGATTCATGGCACCTGACGTTAAGAAGTCTACAAAGCAATTGACTATAGTCTCATTATTTTTTTTCCCCCCAAACATGAACAGGTTATAGTGGCAATAATATTGGGGCTAAAGTTCGGAGAAAACCAGGAACTATCGAAGAGTTATTCAATAGTTGTTGTAGTTGTGATTTGCCTGTTTGTTGTAGCTTTCGGATGGTCATGGGGTCCACTAGGGTGGACAGTGCCAAGTGAGATATTCCCATTGGAAATCCGATCGGCAGGACAGAGCGTCACAGTTGCGGTAAATCTTCTGTTCACGTTCATAATTGCCCAAATTTTCCTTTCCCTCCTCTGTTCCTTCAGGTATGGAATCTTTCTCTTCTTTGCGGGCTGGATCACCATCATGACCATTGTAGTCTTCCTTTTTCTACCTGAAACCAAGGGAGTGCCCATTGAAGAGATGGTCTTTTTGTGGAGGAAGCACTGGTTCTGGAAAAGAATTGTACCTCAATTCCCAGAAGCCGATGCAACTGATGTGTAGGGTATACAATTTCAGTTGTCTTAGAAAAGAAGACTTGTAGAAATTATCATGCTTTAACATGCAAAATGACTAAAGTATATGATGAGATGTATACAAATTGAATGTAGCCATGGAATGGTATTGTGTTATCATGTATTTTAAAAATTTTTCCGTTTGAGCCTTTAAAAGTCAGCAAAAGTGAATACAAAAAATATCCATCAATGCTTTCACCCATTTGTTTTTTGATGAAATATACATTCATCAGTGCAAACCAATTTGCATTTTGCATGAAGAGATGGTCTTTTTGTTCTGAGAAAATCTTGTGAGTTTCCTTTCCCTGCATTTTAAACTCAAGGAAATATAGAATTAAAAGAACAAGCAGCCTACCCAAGCGTTCACCAATTTTGCGCACAATTTGAAATAATAAAAAAAAAAAACACTAGACTATTCCCTCTGTTACTCACCACCTGACCCCCCGCCTGTGGAGTTCATAGCCCCTCCCTAACGCAAAGCAGCAACTGGTCGATGAGTTCTCTATACGCAGCATAGAATAGAGGGACTGACTCTGCAAACTCAAAACAAAAGCTGTTTGAACAGCCGGACGAATTGGGGATAAAAGCGACCTGAGATATAGATCAACTAAACTACCATCTCTTTAAGTAAATACAAAATCAAGTCATACAATGTAAATTCATTTGCATGCCTAGTTCACTTCAGACAGTTACGCTCAATTCACCAGGCATATGTGAGTTGAAACTGGCAACAGAACAGCATGTTCTCTAACTGCTCTTGCCTGGTGAGATCAGAGATGCATATAGAAGTCTTTATCAGCGGCTGCCAGGTTTCCATGTACTGCAGACGGCTAATTTTAAAACGTCTAACCAATGAATGATATCAAACTAAAGTCAAAACTTGTACGCACCGATTTAACTTGTACTCAACAAGACTTTGCAATTAGTCATATTAGAATGATTATTATAAATATGATAGTCAAAAACCAATTTAAACCAGTGAGAATCAGCAGCACCTAAGTTGACCTTGTGGTTGGAAAATGCGCTAATCTAGCATTTCTTGCACCCCCTCTGCTGGACCGGGTACACAACAAATCATGCAGACAGCAAATTAAATTGGCCATGACGCGTAAAACACCAAAAAATAACAGCCCTGTTTTTACACCAAGTCTGGACATTAACTTGATATTTTATCATATCAACGATATATCATTACAATAATCATTCTAACGGGCAAGTTTCGCAAAGTAAGCCACATCCCGAACAGTAAATCGGACGTGAAGGCTTTTGCACTCGGGAAAGGAGAATCGGCCATAATTACCATGACCTTATTAGTATCCTCCTACGTGCGCAAGGCTCATTAATTTTGCGGTTGTTTCTTTTACCATGACCCTATTGGCATCCTCGTTGAGAAGCAAGTTCCCTCACAAGGGACCGAATATAAGAGGACAAACCCATATATTATGCTTCAGACAAAAGTGATAATGGAAACCAATCTTATGAAGAAAAGAAAATACTTCGAATAAAAGAAAATAAAGGTGCCGTGAACGACAGAAGGACACTGACCCACCGCAGAAAGTAAGCTAACTACATGAATCTTATTGCATCAGAATTCAGAACTACAATGAAAGAAAACGACAAAAGGACCAAACAAAGACCCCGAAAAAAAAAAAAAAAACCGAACCAACACAAAGCAAACCTCCTTCCACAAGATCTAAGGACAACGCATACGACGCACGAAATCTACAGGCACAGCCTAAATCCACCATATTGTTCTTTTAAGCCTACGTGAATTTACAAGAGAATTTTAGTCTTGAAAGTCCAATCTTCCGCCCTTTAACAGGTGTACTAATACTAACTAACTGAGTAAGCCCCCTTCCAGGAACTAAAGTATCAAACTCTCATCACTGGAAGCATCTCCTAGCAAAGCTTCGAACAATTCTTGATTTGCTCGCATTCAACAGGCAACCTCTTGAAAAAATAAAGGAAGCTCGTTGAGATTATGCGAACGACCATCTACGAAGGAAGGAAGAACCGAAATCCTAACATCTGTCATACAGCCATCAATCACCACTACAAACTTTATTCTCAATCGACGGAATCGATCTACTTTTGAGATTATACGCCAGCCCGACTGCCCCTTATCATACCAAATCCAGCCTCAGCAACCGCCTCAAATCGCTGGTGGCTGCACCGTTCTTCCCAAGAAATCCCGGCACCGGCACTGAACTCGGAGGCGGTGATGCAACAAAAGCGGATCCAGCATAGATTCCGTCCTTCAAATCCGAAATCCTAATCTGCTTCTGCACCATTTCCGGGTCCGGACCCAAACGATCAGTCGATCCCAAAACCAAATCAAAATCTCCGTCGCTCTTGGCCATCTTATGGTTGTCTGAGGAAACAGCGAGCACTCGCGTTTGGTTGTTCTCCGAATTCAGCCTCTCCCCACGCTTGAGGATCTTGACCTGGCCCATTACAAGGTTCGTAGCCGAACCTTTCGCCACCGTGGATCGACCGCCATACCTACTCCTATCACGATCCTGATGAATGGCTTGAACGGCTACCGGGCTTCTCTTCCTCCGGCGAGTATAGCAGGGATTAGAGTTAGGGATTGGAATAGGGCTAGGGTTAGGGTTTCTCCGTGATCTGACAGGCGATGCCGTTAGGGCTAAGGCTTCGTGGCCAAACCGACCTCGAAAACAATCATTAGAGCGAAGAATCACGGTTGCCATTTATAACAAAAGAAGATCAAAGACGGGAGAGAAAGAAAAAATTGGCAAATTCTCAAAAGTGAAATGCTCTAAAATGGCGAGTGAGGAAAGAGCGGAACTTCATCGATTTTTATAGGCAAATGAGTCACGTGAGGGGCCTGAACGGTCTTCTAGGTTCGTTCTATGCTGGTTCCGTATGATGGAGGCTAGGGAACAAGGTCACGTGATATGGCTTCAAGGTCGGTTTTCCGTCGAACCCTAAGTGATGACGTGTCGAGTTATAAGTGGAGACATGTGGCGGCAATTGGAGTCGTGTAAGGTAGATCTGCAGTTTAGGACTGAACCGCCTCAAGAGGAATAAAGTTGCAGATGAGAACAGGTGCAGTGAAAAATATTTTTAAAATAATATTTATAATTTAAAATATATTTTAACATTCCACTATATTGATTAAACAAATAAATTATTTATAAAATATTTATAATAATATACTTAAATATATTATCTTTTATTTAATATATTTTATATTTAAAAAAAATTAAAATGATAAACTTAGTTTAAATTTTTGAGTTTATCCTCATCTAAATATTTAAAATATATAATTTTATTAAGTTTAATTTTAATTTTTTTTAGAGATATTTAGATTTAACTTAAATTATTAGCTTTATTTATAAATACGGTGTAATTTTTTTTATAATAAAAAGTTAAAAGAGTTTTGGAATGTGTTTAGGAGATTTTTTTTTTATGAGAAAATGGAGCTAAAAAGCCCGGGCTATTGTTGAGGAGTTTCTTTTTTAAAAAAAAAAATAAGAGATATAATAACAAGAAAGAGCTTTTAAAGCGATCATTTGCCATTTGCAATTCAATTTTTTTTTATCCCCTAAATTAGAAGGTTAAGGTTTTAAGGATAAAGTGACATAACTTAATTATTTTATTTATAAAATTATTTTCTCCTACCTAATTAAAAATATTTTACATGTTATTTTCATTCTGTCGTGATGTTTCTCTTGCCTGCCGCCAAATCTCTTCCTTGCCCGTGAACGTTACAACTCTAGGCGTTTTTCTCTTGCACATCAAATATGTTTGTTTGAGTTGCCTTGTTCCTTGCTTTTATTTTTATTCTTTTATTTGAATGCAGTGTTGCTTGAGCCGCGATATGTTCATTTCTTTCCCCTTTTATTCTTTGCGTTATTTTGTTTGTCTGCTACGTCGTTAATTGAGTGGCAATATGTTCCTTGCTTTTTTTCCTTTGCGCTGCCAGATTACTAGATATCAAACCCTCCCAAATCCCATCCCATGCACGTCAATTATGTGCTGCCTCTCTTTCTGTATTTGTTGGTGTGTACACACACATATGAAATAGTCAAATTTCATTTAGGAGCATGGAACAAGACTCAACAACAATATTGCATCATCAAAAAGAAAATCTTATCTATTATTTTTTTGTATTTCTAAATTTAACATGATTTAATAAATCAAATGTTTTTTTATAAAGTTGGCTTATATACCAATAAAAGATGTTTTTATAGAAAGATGTTAAAAATTTGATTTCAAAATAGATTTTCATCATATGACAAGTAATTTTATTTTTTTTTTTAATTTTAAAATATAAATGTGTGTGCACACACTCTTTTTCTTTTTCTTCTTTTAACATACTTTTTTTCCCTTTTCTTTTTTACCTATGACACTTTTTCTTTTTCTTTCTTTTTGATTAATGGCTACTTTTGTCTGCCATTTCTTTATTTAGTCCTTGACTTTTTTTAGCTACTTTTGCCTATTGACAATGAGTTGATAATTTTCAAAATCAACGCTGATTATGTTTTCATTGTCTAAGTCTTGTGTGGGAGGACCTTACATCTGAAGCTATTTAATATGCTTGGGATGCTACTTCTTGTATAAGAGAAGCTCATTTCTCTTTTGTCTTAATAGCTACCAATTGGGTCATCAACTTGTTCTTTTCTATTAGAAAAGCTATGGATACTGCAGCTTGTTCCTTGATAGCTTGTTTGGTATGTTGGAACTAATTCTAGAGAAGTGGAAGCAGAAGTGGAAGTTTGAAAATGGTATGTTTGGCATGCGTAAATCCATTTCATAAGGGGACTCACTTCCATAAAAAACAATGCAACTTGGTTCCATCATGCCCTTAATAGAGCTCACTTCCATCATGCTAGCTTCCATCTTTACCCTTCCAGATCTCACCTTCTCCCTTCTTTCTTGATGAGCCACCTCCTTCCCTTAGCTACCATTGACGACGCCAGCATGAGAGGACAACAACGATAGTTAATTATAACCAGATAACTAAGCTCGATAGTAGAGGTTGAAGCTGTCATTAGCAACGGTGAAGCAAGTGAGAAGGAAAGGGCCCTAGCATTACTTGGCATGCATTGAAATGCCCTCCCCCTATATCGTCTCCTCCACCTCTTCCATGGTGTCCCCCAACTTTGTTGCCGTTGTCAGCTGATTTGCCTTACACATAGCTTTGTCCCCACGATTGATTCATCCATATTGATGGGATTTTGTTTTTCCTTCAATTTTTGGGTTTGATGGAGATTTTTTTCTTCAAAGATGGTAGTTCATGGTTGCAAATGCGGATGGTGAAGAGATTTTTTTTTGGTCGGAGAAGAGATATTATTTTGTTGGGGTACTTTGGTATTTTCATATCACAAATACATATTTTTATTAAAAATTATATCTTAGTTCCATATGTATACCAAACACGTTTTAAAACTCTACTTTCACCCCACTTCTACATCCAATTTCAATTACATTAAAAACTCTTCCATGCTACCAAATGAGGCATAATTTGCTATAAAATTGCCTTATTGGTGGTTTTAATCCACCCAAGAATTGTTTGTGCTTGCAAATTGTTAGTTGCATTTATCCCACCACTTTACTCTAAATTGTAACATCTTGAAAAAATTAATCAGGATTAAGTTAAGTAAAAAAATCAAGTAAATTAATCTGGTGTGTGGCTAAAGAGACTTAATAAGTGTGTTTGGTTGTGATTTTGGCTCTAAATGCAAGTCTGAAGTGAAATGTATCACCCTATCCTACTATCTAGACTCTTAGCAAATAATTATTGAAGAACATAGACTCTGCCCACTTTATTTAATTAAAAGCATAAATTTTTTGCAACATCATAGTTTAAAATATAACCAAATTCTAGAAATCTTAATCTAAGTCAGTTTATGGTGGAATACCATCTAATAACTAAAAGTAAATAGAAAGAAAGAAATATAGGCCAAAAATGATAAAAAGTGCTATAGTCATGAATAGTAAATATAATCCTACATGTGTTATGAGGAGTACAAGAGCCAAAGGCTCATTCCTCCAGCACGTTCCCTTAATTCCTACTCAGACCTTCACATGAAAAATATTAAAGAAAGGGTAAGCATTAACATCTCAATCACCTAAAATTTGACCATACATGCACGAACTACAATCACACAATCATACAATCAATATATAATTGAGTTCATAAAAAACATTCAGTTATGACATAAGAATTCCATATAATATAGCTCACAACATATTAATATCCAATACCAATAATCCCCTTTATTACTTCGTCCATCCTTATTTCACTGACTGAAACTATAGGCTTAAATACGGTCTTCTCACATGCTAGACTAACCAAGCTTCTCTAGTGCTTGAAATATATTTGGCCAAAGGTACAGAGCCCAGGCTCAGATTATGGCTCCCCTCCTTGAAAAACTCAACACAAAAGCCTAAAGAGAAATTGCAACATAAAAGGTTCTTAAATTCTCACTAAACCAGGGCATCAAAGGATTTCACAGTACCTATACAAGTTACATGATTTTGAAAAACTTCTACAGGTAAGCCCTTGGTCAGCGGATCTGCAAGCATCTGCGTGCTAGGAATGTGTACCACACGGGTCTGAGACTCAGTAATTTTCTCTTTCACAAACATAAGTTTGATATTAAAATACTTTATACGGCTAGAATTTCTGTGATTATTAGCATAGTATACTGCAGATTTGTTATCGCAGTAAATGGTTAGAGGACGTGATATTGACTCAATTTAGGCGCATGCCAAATATCAACTTCCTCAGCCATATAACATGATATGTAGTCTCAAAACAAGCAATATACTCAGCTTCCATAGATAAAACTACTATAAGTGTCTGTTTCACACTTTTCTAAGAGACAGCTCCTCCAGACAACATGAAAGTGTAGCCAGTCATGGATTTACGATCATCCAAACAAGAGGCAAAATCTGAATTTGAAAAGCCAACAATTTCAAGATCTTTTGATCCCTTAAAGTTATAATCAGAAAACCCAACAACCTCAAGAGAATTTGACCTTCGGTAAGTCAACATATGATTCTTTGTACTTTGAAGATACCTCATAACTTTCTTAGCAGCCTTCCAATGATTTGGACCTGGATCATTTAAGTATCGGCCCAATACTCTAATGGCAAAGGCTATATATGGTCGAGTACACACTTGAATATACATAAGGCTACCGACAACAGAAGCGTATGATATTTTTCTCATTCTAGCCCTCTTCTTATCATCCTTGGGACACTGTAACTAACAACAACTCACATTTCTGTACAGGAGCAGGTGAGGGAGAACATGAATCCATTCTGAATCTCTTAAGTACCCGCTCAATATAAGTGGTATGTGATACACCAAGAATATCATGAAATCTATCATGATGAATCTGTATCCCAATAATGAAGGAGGCTTCACTCATGTCTTTCAGGTCAAAATGGCAAAACAATAGGTGTTTTATCTCATTGAGGAAATTCATTGAATTGCTGGCTAACAAGATATCATCAACATAGAGAATAAGAATGGCAAAATTGTTCCCATCAAACTTCTAATAGATACAATGTTCTGAGACATTCTCAATAAAACTGAATGAGGTGATAACTTCATCAAATTTTAGATACCATTACCTAGAGGCCTATTTTAGCCCATAGATGGATCTCTTCAATCTGCACACTAGATGTTCTTTACCAGATTCAACAAAACCATTAGATTGTGTCATGTAGACTTCTTCATACAAATCGCTATTGAAGAACGTAGTCTTGATATCTATCTGGTGAAGATCAAGATCAAACTGTGCAACTAAAGCCATTACCACTCTA